CGCGGAGGGCGGTTGGCACCCTCCGCCACCCTGCGGGGGCGCGCGGCGGCGCCAGAGCAGGAAGATGGAGGGCCACCACCACTCCGCCAGCGGCGAGCAGGAGAGGGCGCAGATGGTCCCCACAAACTGGCCGCTGAAGATGAAGGAGAGGGCGCGCGCCCGGCCGTGCAGAGGGACCCACGCAGCGAGGAGCGCGTTGCAGCACGGGATCTGGACGCCCTCGGCGAGGCCGACGACGACGCGCGCCTAGACTAGATTGACCGTCCTCCAACCGTCAGGCGCCGCGAATGACGTACTGGCGGAGGGCGCAGTGCGCGCCGCGAGGGCGGCGTTGATGGACTGGCGTGCGGCCCACGGCGTGAGAACTGTTGCCGCAGACCAGACTATTGTACCGACCAGCAGCACTCGCTTGGCTCCAAAGCGAGCGGCGGCGAGGCCGGCCGGGATCTGCGTGAGGACATATCCGCAGAAGAATGACGCGAGGAGCGTGCCGGTGCTCGCCTCGCCCCAGCCGAGCTCGCGGCTCATCGCGATGACAGCCACCGAGAGGTTTGTCCTGTCTGCGTAGCCGAGCATGTTGTTGAGGAAGAGGAGCGGCAGCAGCGTGAAGGCCTCGCCGGAGCAGTCGGATGTGTACTTGCCGCGCCGCATGGCTGCTACACTCGAGTAGTCTTACACGCGAGACCTGTTCCGCTGTGTTAGGCGGGTATGTACCGCCCGCTGCTGCGCGAGGTGGCGGCGCTGCCGACGGGGTGCTTACCGACCGCTGACGAATACGGTCGCGGCGTTTGCTTGCGCGTCTCGACTGGTGGCGGCGAGTAAGATTGGTGGTTGGGTAATGTGGATGTGCAGCGTCAGGGCGGCCGACACCCACGCGCTCAATTACTGGCAGGAGGCGTATGAAGCGGAAACGATGGAGGCGCTCGCCGAGTTCGGCGATTGAGCGCTCTCCCGGCTGCGCGCATGACCGCGGTGCGGCCTGAACGACAAGGACTCATCTTCGTTCGGGCAAGCAAGGCGCGGGCGTCGGTCGGTGCAACGTCGCCGCCGCCCCGCCGCCGCCGACGCCCTGGACACAGCCTTTCGAGTGGATCGGCGTCTTCGATACCAGCGCCGACACGACGCACACCTGCCTCGCTGCCTGGGCCCTGCCCCTGGCTGGCGCAGAAGGTCAACGGCAAATACGCCGACCCGACGATGAAGCTCGTGATGATCGCGACCCACACGCCGACGGCGGCGACGATGGAATCGCTCGAGGGCGATGCTGCGGTCCTGAT